TATATATATAAATGACCTAACAGATAGTTTAAACATAGCACTAATGTTAAGGACCTTATTAAAGTAATAGTCCATGTTACACTGTGGTGAAAACTCCAGTATATATTTTTTATTCACACACAGAGGGGACACCCACTAACTCAAAAGGGCAAGTCCAGGCCCTGTCCAAACAGCTCTCACTTAATTCACATTATAATTTTCAAAGGCAAGTATTTTACTGATAAGGAAACAGGCTAAGTAAAACAGGTTATGGGACATGTCCAAGGTCCCAACTGCTAAAGCAATTTCAAAGCCTAGCCTCTTTGTTATAAAGATAATACAGTAGGGGTCAAGAACAGAATGAATGGCAAGAGGGAGAAAGGAAAAGTTTCTCACAGGTCCCATCCTAGGCCGACTGAGGGGCAGGGAGAGGGATCGGCAATACACTGTCTCGACACCCCTTCGGACATTTTTTTCTGGGCCACTCTCAGAATCCCAACTGACGTGAGCAGATTTGGATGTAATACAGTGAGCAGTACCCAAACCCAAATATTTACTGAATGAATGAATGAACGAACCAACGAGGCAACGAAGAAACAAAGGAGAATGGGTCATGGGTTTGCCCCTCTTGAGAAACCAGCCCGGTGTTAGGCCCGGGCGAACGTACGAGGACACCCATCAGGCGCCCCCTCCGGGGGCCACGGCCCTGAGACCCGAGGTCTGACCTGCCCATTGTCCGCAGACATTGTGGCGGGAGAGAAGAGCCTTCTGAACGGCTCCCGATTTCGCCGGAATCGCGCGACCTTCAGCATCCCCATCCCAAACTAGGTCGCTCGAAACTCTGCCCAAACCTCAGCCGGCTTAGCAGCGGGGATCAAGCTGAGAGGCATAATCAAAAAGCACAGGCGTGGAGACCAGGAGAAACGGAGGGGCAGACACAGTCAGAGAACCCGTCCATCACAGCAGCGCGTGGGTCACGCCGGAAGGGTGGCGCACGAGCGGGTGGTGGGCACGGGAGGGCCGGGGGCACAGAAGCTAGCAGCCATTTGCGCGGGAGTTGTCTGCACAGCCGGGAGGCCCGCGTGACGGAGCTTTCCGCTAGGCTTACCTAATTTTCCCGCCCGCAGAAGGGAAGGAGTAGCCACTACTTCCCACCATCAGGTGCGACTAGCCACCAGGACCCTCGCGCAGGCGCAGGCCTGTGGGGCGGAGACCCAAGGTAGCACAGCCAATCGGAAAGGTGGAGGGGCGGGCAAAGGAAGCAGCCCCGCCTTCCCGCTGCTGTTTATTCCTCCCTCGCCTTTCCAGGTGTAGGATAGGCGGGGCGGAGAGCGGAGGGCGGAGGGCGGAGGGACCGGAAGTGAGTTTTTATAACCCGGAAGCGGGATTCTTCCCTGGCTATAGTGTTGATGTCAAGCTGCTGCTGTTTTTGCGGTTAAGAGAACCGTCGCGGAAGAATGGTGTGCGAAAAATGTGAGTTAAGGGGCCGCTTCTGCGGGAGAAGGAGGGTAGGACAATCTAACTGGAGTTCCCCGGAAACTGCCCTTTTTTGTTTTTTCCTTCGGCCACCGGTTTTTGATTATAGCTTCTGTCCTCCTACCCTGACCTCTGACCATTCCTGCCCTTCCCAACGACCATATAGCCCTATATGTTTTGCATTCGGGGTGGTTTTAGCTTTGCACCTATTTGTCCACTTCTGTTGCTTCCCTCCAACACCGGATCTCATCCCATACTGTTTCTTGACAGGCTCCCTCGCCTCACAGACTTTCACGGCTGGAATGGATCTTAGTCACGTCTACATTTGCCAGATTTAAGCAAATAAAAATCCGACGCCCAGTTAAATTTGAATTTCAGGTAAACAACGGATAATTTTTAGTATAAGGATATCCCATGCAGCATTTGAGACTTGGTTGTTTGCTGCTCCAAAGCACTTACTTTTAGAACATTCTTTCCAGAAACAGAATTCGTTGTTTATCTAAAATTTAAGTTTGACTGTGCATCCTGTGTTTTATCCAACAACCCTAAGTCAGTATCCCATCCAGTTATTTAAGCGCTCTTTTCACAGTATGGAGGTGAGGTGGCAGGAGATTCTCACCACCTTCAAAGTAGTCTGTGTAGATGTCACTGACTTTTAGAAAAGTCTTTCCTCCCTATAGTTGCCATCAGTGATTCTAATGCCAATCGGTGAGATTTCTAAAAGATACCTTATGATTTTTTTGACCTTGCAAACTGTTTATATGTTTAAAAACAGCTGTCATATACCCAAGTCTCTTTTTTCCTCAGGCTAGACATGCCTGGCTCCTCCGTGGCATGGTTTCAAGTCCTCTTATCCTGATTACTTTCTAACATGATCCGTTTCGTTTATATACCCCCAGTAGATAAAACTTTGAACACAGACACCCATGAGATTGAATCACAGATCTTTCATTAGGTAAAAGAATGAACATGGATGAGTTACTTTAGTAAATTCTTAGTGTGCAGAGAATAATTTTGGGCTTCTGTATTTGGAGCCTGGCATTCAGGACCACCCTCCACAATAAGGCCTCAGCTTATCTCTCCAACTTCATTTTCACTAATCCTTATCCTCTTCCCACTTGGGCCAAACCAAACTATGTTGTATGCCCATGTCTACCCTTAGCTTTCCATGCCTTTCTTCAGGATGTGTTCTAGGTTGTCTCCATCCTCTTCACAGTTTGATTGCCACATACCCTCTCTGTTGCCGTTCCCACAAAGATTTCATGGATTTCCTTAGCCGAGGTTATTTCTTCTCCATGGAATTTCTCCTACTATGTTAGCTCTCAATTTCTTCTAGCTATCAATTCTTATACTTTTTATTTTCTAGCTTATATTTGAGTTGAATGGTTCTTAGCTTTTTTTTTCCCCCCCCTCTTTTGGTTCTCTGAACCCTTTGATCTGATGAAAGCTGTAGACTCTTACCAAAGTCTATAAAAAAAAGAGATATACAAAAGGTTTGTGTACAGTTTCATCTATTTCACGTCCACTAAGGTCCTAAGGTCCACTGGTGAAACCCAATTTACTACTGTTAGAGAAATCAGCAAGCTCCTTGAAATTTAGAACTTTATCTAACTCATTGGGTTTTTTCCCTTTGTGTTCTGTACAATAGTTTCTACATAGTATAAATGGTTTATAGATGTTTTGTAAATATTTATGGAATGAATATACTTAATAGATGTGTTTAACTGATTTGTTCAAAGTACACTGTACAGAGGAAGCTTGTTATAAGCCATACTATTACACTACAAATTTTACTAAGAATCAGTTAGTTTTCCATTGCCCACACTTAATATCTTAAGTCGCAGGTCAATGGCCCTGACTCCAGCATTAGCATTAACAGGCTCCTACTATAATGTGACTGTTAATACCGTTGTGAACTTTAGACACAATGTAGTGTATTTCTTAGATGGTAAATACTAATTCCCCTTTCTGTTAATATCTTGTTATAACAGGTGAAAAGAAACTTGGTACTGTTATCACTCCAGATACATGGAAAGACGGTGCAAGGAATACCACAGGTATTTTTCCTTTTTGAACACAGAAGTTGAATCAGATACTTCTTGTGAATAATGTTTTAGCTTTTATTGGGTCGTCAGGAAAGTCATGACATATTTTTCTATGTTTTTCAATGCAAAAATGTGTCTTGACTTTCCTGACGACCCAGTACATTACTTGTAAAATAAAATGTTATGCGTACAAAATATTTTATCTATTAAATTTAAAGAATACTGGATCCTCCAGCAATTTAATATCTTAGTCTATTTAGTTCTCTCAGTTACATGTCAGAGTTCCTAATTTAGTAAGCAGAAGGTGACATAATGATGAAATAATTTTCAAGCAACGAGTATATGATAGTAATGGATTTGATTCGGCTTAATTATAGTTGGTATTTAATTCCCTTTTTTTTCACCTGATTTTTATATTCTTAAATCATTTAAATGTTTTCACCTTCCTAATTATTAAATACAGTGAAAATGTTGTCAAATGGAAGGAAAAGAGATACTTTCACTGTATTCAAGGTCTATGGCACTAAAGTGTGGCTTCTAGATTTTACAGTACATAAATTAAATGTAGACGTATTCCTGAAGTCCTACTTTGAGTCTGAGAAATAAAATGATTGTTTAATCCAAATTTTTTTTGGCTTCTCTTTTTGTTTTCCTAATAAATGTCTTAAGTAGTGTCTTGAGAACCTGGCTATTAAATGAAGATTTTTTTTTTAATTTTGATATAGGCTAGTGTCTATTAGTAGGATGTCAAAAATGAACTTTTAAACTAATTGTTAAATGTTATATGTATATTTTTATATGTGAAATGTGTAGAAATAACTCACTGAAATACATGTGTATCTTGATATAGAAAGTGGCGGAAGAAAGCTGAATGAAAATAAAGCTTTGACCTCAAAAAAAGCAAGGTAGGTATAGGAGCATCAATAAAGCAGCAATATATAAAATTACCACTGTTTTTAATATTAAGCGTACTGACGTGAATTTGGTATGCATCATTCTATTGTGATAAAACATAGAGATAGGTAGTTCCTGTCACGCAAAACCAAGCTATCTGTTATAACCTGCTGCTTTCCACCCTGTCCCTCCTCGCTGTATCACTGTATGAAGATATTAGTGCCACTTTCTTTTTATAATTTCACCAGAAACATGACTTTTTTTTCCCTAGTTCTTAATTATCCTGCAAATCAGAGGCAGCAGAGAAATGTGGAAATAGCCTAAGTCCTGGAATCAGACCTCAATTTGAATCTAGACTCTGTCACTGTCTAGCTCTGTGACCTTACACAAGTTAAGTCAGTTTCTTAACTTTTCTGAACTTTACTTTTTCATCTAAGAATGGGGATAAAAATGTCTCCCACCTTAAAAACAATTCTTGACACCATGCTTTATTATATCCAGTCTTAAAAATCCCATGGACCCTTCCAGCTTCCATCCCATTTCCTTGCTTCACTTTATAGCAGAAGTTTTCAAAAGCCTTATTAGATACTTTCTCATGTCCTTAAATTTCATTCTCTCCTTCAGCCACTCCAGTCAGGCCTTCATCCCCACTATATTCTTGAAACTACTTTTGTCAGGATCACATATGACCTTTAAAACTGACGGCCTTTTGCTCTGGGACACCATGCTCTCCTGTCCTCCGAACTCACTGGCTATTCCTTCTTAATCAAGTGCCTCTAGACGCAATCCTAGACTTTTATAAATTTATAATTTCTCCTCAAGTGACTTTAGCCCAATGGCTTTAAGTTCAAACTGTCTGTTAATGACTCCCAAGTGTGTATCTTCAGTCCTGACTTATTCTTTGAGCCCCAAGCATGTCTCCAAATGCTTATTTAATTAAGCCAATTGGATGTCTAACAGGCAACCTCTTTTTCCTTCAGTCTTCTAATCATAGTCTTATTATTATACCACTGTCCAATCCAGTTGTGCAAACCTAAAAGCTAGAATTATTCGCTGGTTCCCTCCTTTCCCTCACTTCCCATACCCACCAGCATGTCCTTTGTCACAATCACCAAAATACAACCTGAATCCACCTGCTTCTATCCATCTCACTGCTATTATCACATTCCAAATCCCTGTTATTTCCTACTTGGATACCTTAATAACTTTCTCTCCCTGCTTCTTAAAGTAACCAGAGTGGTCCTTTAAAGGGCATGTAAGTCCTTTTATCAAAAGCCTCCATTGGTTTTCTTTTTATACTGAATAAAATCCAAGCCCCCAACTATGTTCTTACGAGGTCCTCCATGATCTGTCCCCTCCCACTTTCTATTGTACCAACTCCTGCATCAGATATGCCAGGCCCACTCCCACTGGAAGAGTGTGCTTGCTTTTTCCTCCTCCTACAGCTCACCCCTCAGAGCTTAAATATTGGGTTGTCAGAAAAGTCATGACGTATTTTTTCTATGTTTTCCATTGCAAAAATGCGTCATGACTTTTCCGACAACCCAATAGCTGGCTCCTCCTTGTTACTTTGGTCTCAACTGAAATGTCACCTCCTAAGAGAGGGTCCCTAACTAGCATCTAAACTAATGTCTTCCCTCCTTCCCCTCATGTCTGCCACAGTATTCTGTTTGAATTTTATCTACAACATATATTACTATCTGAAAAGCATGTTTCATTACTTATTGCCTATCTCCGCTCACTAGAATGTCAGCTTGATGAGGGCAGAGACTTTGACTGCCAAGTTCATCTTTAGTATTTAGAGCAGTAACAGGCACATAGTAGGCAATCAGTATATATTTGCTGAATGAATAAGTACGTGTTTCATGACTTCATCTCAAGGATTAGAAATATTAAAAATAAACTTACTATATACAGTACCTGGCACATAAGATAGCACAATAGACTTAATCTTTTAAGTGACAAGCAGTGTCACACTATGTATTGTTGACTGACTTATTGATATCTTCTAAGACCAGTTATTATTAAGTTGTTATTTTTATAGATTGTACAATTTTATATACTTCTAGTTCCTTTATGTTCCCAAACTTACTCTGATACCATTAAAAAGTAGCTATTAGTTTTGGATTCTCTAAATATCTCACTTTGGGAAGTTTACTACTGTATTGTTTTGAAGCTAAGATACTGTCATTTATAGGACACATCATTGAATTAAGAAAGAAAAATCTCTGCCAATTAATTTTAAGGTTTCAGAGATAATAAAATGTACATCTTAGAATGATAAATTATGGTCTTAAGAAAAATTAATCTCCACATACAGGTCCAAACAAATTGAGCTTATTGAAAAGAATAGTGCCTGTCTTCTCTTGTGGGAAGTAAAGTGACATTCTTTTGAGTTTGAAAAAATTAACCTTTGAAAATGAGCTATTGTACTGTACCCCAAGAGAAGAAACAGTGTTGGTATTCAGTATATGAGTATCGTTAGAAAAAGTTATTGCCAGTTTAGGGGGAAGTATTTCCTCTAAAGTTATTATTCACTTCAGTCACTATAAGGTGGCATTTTTATATAGTAGGAACCCCTTTATCTGAAGATATTGGATCAGTTAATTGAAGATGTCAGTTTAATTAGGTAATCATATCTTATTTTAAAGCACGTAACTATATGCATTCATCAATCATTTGATATTGAGATAAGCCCGTTTGAGTTCTTCATTTTCCTTCTGTAAATCATAACCAGAATATATATTTCCAGTATCTTTAAAGTGGAGCATGAACTGACAGTAGTGAAGCGCCAAATCTTCCCACTTATGATTTTTTTCCCCAATTTTTAACAGTTGTCTTATCCATTCCTAAATCAATAGAAGTTGTAATGATTCACGCTTATCTAGTCATCCTAAAGCATTCACTTAGTTTTTAATAGACTCAATCACTGTTTTTGCACTCCTATTTCATCAGTTTTCATAATATTTAATTATATCACACAAATAGATTGCCAAATACAACAGATATAAACAGGGATTAAATACAAATGACTTTTTTTTTATTTTGGGGAATTGGAGGAGGGAAACAGCGCTGGGGAATTGGGGGATGGGGAACAGACAAGCTGCTGTCCCTTTGTTCTTCAGTCTAGTTGTGAAGGACGTTGCTTCACTGGCCCATGTTGGCATCATCATTGCGCTCTTCCCAGGTGAGGCAGATCTGTCGCCAGCCTCTGGATGGCCGCTCACAGCGGCTCTCAGCAGCTCACACCGGCTGCTGGCTGCTCTCGCTGGCTGCCAGCCACACACGGTAGCCTATGGCAGCCCACTGCAGCTTCACTGCAGCCTACGCCGTAGGTGGTGACTCACTGCAGCCCAGTTCCAGGTCGAGCCGTTGTTCACCATCTTAGCTATAGAGGGCGCAGCATCACTGGCCCTCATGTGGGATTCGAACCGGGACCCCGCTGCTCAGAGCCGGCGTCCCAAGACAGCTCTTAACCAACATGCCACTTGGCCGGCCCTAAATGACTCTTTATATGCATACAACTTACATGGAAGGGGCAGAGGCGTGTAGGCATTTTAGAGAGTAGCCAGCTGGAAGAGTGCCATGCCTGTCAATTGTAGAGTTTGACAGAGGGAATAAAGAGCATGTCTTAATCTCATTTGTTGCTTAAATGAGGTTATTTGAGTGTTGCCGTTGTATTATATGTTTTTCTTTCTTTAAAAAAAAAAAATCTCTAGATTCGATCCATATGGAAAGAATAAGTTCTCCATTTGCAGAATTTGTAAAAGTTCTGTGCACCAACCGGGTTCTCATTACTGCCAGGGTTGTGCCTACAAAAAGGGTAAGTTTAATACCATTTTTCTGTTCATATCAAACGTGTTTCATTTGGTACTAATTTGGACAATACAGAAAAAGGAGTAGCCTTTCATAAATCCTGTTGTTGTAAAATGCTCTCTTCTATAAGGCACAATAGAACTTGTTCATTATTAAAAGTATATGGTTTTTCTGTTTTTATTTTTTTCTCTTTTCTGATGCTATTAAATTATGTTTTTAGCTTCAGGAATAACTTAAATTAACCAAACCATTGGTATTAGATATTTGTTTGGGATTATTAGTTTGTATTATGATTTGATTGCTTACATGTTTTCTTTTCTTTTAGGTATCTGTGCAATGTGTGGAAAAAAGGTTTTGGATACCAAAAACTACAAGCAAACGTCTGTCTAGATGTATTGATGAAGTTTCTGGCTTTTTAGATGTTTTTGCTTTTTGCTTTAAATTTTCAAGGTATATCATAGATGTTCAAGTTACAAAATAACATGGTTTAAGGCAAATTAAGTTTAAACCAGGGAAGTTGATTGGTATTCATTCTTTTGCTCTCAAGAAGTTATAAATAGCAATGTAACTAGGCTCCTATATTTTCTTTATAAGCATCTTACTGAACTGGAATTAAGTGGCAAATTTAACAGCAGCAAAAAATATTTTCCCAGTTTCTATGCACTTTTTATTTAATATTCATATATTTCTTCTCCCTCTATTTATACGTATTGCGAAAGTGAGAAGAAAATTATTGGTATTTGCTTAGAACATGGCATCCAGACTTAGAATTCTTCTCTCATTCCCTTGTTGGTTGCATAGTTCTTATATCCAATCCCTTAATTAATTGCAGTTTCACAGGGTATTTAAGTATCTGAGACCATTACTGCTGAATAGTTCCTTAATAATTAGCCAAGATCCAAATCAAACACAAGTTGTATTTATGGTTTTTAAAAATTTGTTCTTGAAGCCAAAGTGCTAATATCTTTTATATGAGAATAAGAACACAAGGGACACCCCATATATGTCCAAATGAATACAGTGGATTTCAGGAAAACATGTTATACATATTACCTTGAATTCACACTATGGTGAAAGACTGGAGAACAGTGTTTATCCATGATGATGTGTAATGGAAATGAATGACCACTCTTTGGGAAAGCTTTTTGAAGAAGAAACCAAATTTCTTTCATTCCTCCCTGTACCCCCCTCCCCCGCAAAAAAATAAATAAATAAATAGAACAAAGCAACCATTTTTTTATTTCATATATATATATATACTTTTTTTTGAGGTTTCAAAGAAAGATTTTTTTCTTATGCTGCCTTCATTGGAAACCTGCAGTATGCCCTATCACCAAGTAGAGTATGTATAAAATACCACTATAAAATGTATGGAATAGGCAACATGATATACATAGTATAGATATTACATTTTTATTTTAAAGTTGTTATGGAAAGTAAAGTTTTAACTTTAATTTTAAGATTTTTTAAATAGTGTTTCTAGAATATGTTGTTCATGTCCTGAAAGATCACAAGGCTAATGTAAAATACAATAAATAATAATAGTTGTGAAGGCTGGAAGTATCTTTTCATGCTTTAATCAATTTGGGATTTTTATTTAAAATTAACACAAGGGATTCATAATAGGAACCATTTATAGAGTGGCCCAGATCCATTACAAGTTGGGTTGGTCAACTTTGGGAAAAGTACATTTCTTAGGTGTTAACTGGGATCTGGACTTCCACAACTCACATTTCATATTCATGCCTTGAGTAGCCACCTTCCATAAATGATCCAGTGACTAGACTCAATTTCTCCTATGAAGATATTTGTTAATATTAAATCTCAGAACAGAATATAAGTATTAAGTCTTCATATTGTTGAAATAATAATATGACTGCCATACATTGATTAGAAGTTATTAGATGAGAAGGAAAATTCCAAAACAGCATGAATATAAAATATTGTTTAAAAAGTCATAAAAACAGAAACTAACATTAAATAAGTTAATTCAATTAAGGCCAAACATAGTTTTCATCAAAGTAAATGTAAAAGTGATGAAATAAGGTATTTTTTAAAACCTCAGACTGTATTTAAATATATAGAGAGGGTGCTAAGAAACTACACATTTTAAGAAAGAAAGAAACTATTAAAACTAATATATACCAATAACAAAAGATGAATACAAGTTGTGTATATGTTTTTTTTGCACCCCCGGTATATTAGAAACTTAAATACCAATAGAACACTTCAATACATTTATTAATTAGAATATGGAGCCACCAAGATGATATAAGAATTATATATATATATATATGTATATATATATATATATATATATATATATATATATATATATATATATGTNTATATGTATATGTATGTATGTATGTATGTGCAGAAGTTTGGGTATACATATAGAAAACATCTGAAAGCTATTAGTGCTGTTTTTTTTCCATGCAGTGGATCTCAGGGTTGAGAAAAGAGAGACTTAACCCTTTATAGCTCATGCCAATCACCTAATACTTTTTAGCTCCTAGTTCCCTTACCTGGGGGAGCAGGAGAGTACTACTAATTTTAGTATCCTAGAAATGTACATTTTCATGCACATATATGTATATTTATTTGTTTTGAGAATTTTAAATAGAAAAATACATATATTGTTCTGCACTTTGACTTCTTTTTTAGTGTTTCTCATATCTGCTTTACCATTTTCTGTCTCTTGTTACATATTTTTTTCCTTGACCCTTTTGAGAGTACATTTCAAACATTATACCCCTTACCCATCAGTACGACATATGTGCATCATAGGAACAAGCATACTAAGTTCAGTTAATCAAGTTCAGGAATTTAACATCAATAACAATGCTTTCATCTATAGTCCCTATTCCAATTTCATTTGTTGTTCAGTTGGTATATTTTTTTCAATTACAGGATCTAGTCCAGTGTCATGTTGCTTTATCATGACTCCTTAATCTGGAACAGACCTTTAGACCCTGTTTGTCATTTGCAGTTTGCTGTACTTGAAGAATATAGGGCAATTAAAAGTATAGAACATCCCTCAGTGTGGGTTTTGCCAATGTTTCTTTATGGTTCAATTCAGGTTATGCGGTGTGGGTTGAAATACTATGAGTGATGTCCATCCAGACTCTTAGAACTTTCCTTTGCCCCTTGTGGGTGATACTGTGATCACGTAGGTAAGATGTCAGTTTTTCCACTGTATAGTTATTGTTTTTTCTTTGCAATTAGTGGTTAATTTGAGAAAGTTAATTTGAGAATGTTAAGAGGAATTTTTGAGACTGTGTTGATATTCTCTTCATCAAACCTGCCCCTCCTAGATTAGCATCCTTTGACGATTCTTACCTGAAAAACTTTTTACTGTGATGTTTACAAAATTGTTATTTTCTAAATACATCATTCTTTGTGTAAACCTCTGCTCTAAAGAAGAGGTTTCCCTTTATCAGTATAGATAACAGTATAGAATAAATGCTTTTTTTCTGACCATTTGTATGTTAGCTGCAGATATGATGCCTCTTTATCGCAACTACTTCAGTGTGTATTTCCTAAGGATATCTTCTAACATAACCGTAGCACAATTATCAAAACCAGAAAATTAACATTAATATAATACTATAATCTTTTCTGTATTTCTAGTTGTTCCAGTAATGGCCTTTGTCAAAAACAAACAAAACTGGGCTAGGATCCAACCCAGGATAACACATTGCATTTACCTATCATGTCTCTAGTCTCTTTAATCTAGAACAATTCTTCAGTCTGTTAAAAATGTCAAGGTCATGAGTGATACTGTCCAGTTATATAGAATGTCCCCTAATATGAGTTTTTCTGATGTTTTTCACCATTAGATTGAGCTTACACATTTTTGGCAGGAATGTCATAGAAATGATGTGTTCATTTCAGTGCATATCATGGTGTCGGTTGTCTAATTTCAGTGTGTTCATTTTGATCACTTATTTTAGGTGGCATCTGCTAGATTTCTCCATTATAAAGTTTCTATTCTTTTCTATTAAGCATTTCATGGGGAGATTCTTAGAGACTATAAATAGTGTTTCTCAGCAAACTTTCACATTAATTTAGCATCCAGTGATGTTCCTTGGGTGAATTAATTACTGCTCAAATGGTTGCCACATGGTGGTTTTCCAATTCTATCATTTCCTTCTACATTTATTAGTTGGCATTCTATTGTAAGAAAATACAGTAATACCTTGGTTTGCGAGCATAATTCATTCCGGAAACAAACTACTCACATTGCGAGATATCGCCTGTTTACCAAGTTAAAATATATTAGAAATGTTTGCTCGTCTTGCAGAACACTCACAAACCATGTTACTCGCAATCCAAAGTTTAACTTCGTTTTTCTCACTTATATTATTAGTATGAACTCATAGATTCCTTTTTGATTCAGTCTATTACTCTCATTTGTTTTGATGTCAAATTGTTCCAGATTTGGCCAGTGACCTTTCAAGCTGGCTCCTGGGTCTTTTTGACATGTTCTTACCATTTTTTGAAAAATTCTTTACTTTCCAGCACAAGTGTTCCAAGTTTATCTTATTGGGTTTTTTTGTGTTTTTTTTTCCCACCCCACCTCTGGAATCAGCCATTTCTCCCAGGATCCTTAGTTTCTTTTAGTGGAGAATGGTGTTTAGAAACTAAGATCTCGGCCTGCTGGGTTATCATTGCTGCTAGGCCTCTTCAATAGAAAGAGCTAGAAATCATATATATTAAACATCACACATTTTATCGATATCGCCAATTCCATTGCAACCTCACAGAATTCTTCCTTGTCTTTCCCCACTCTGTATTTGTGTGTTCTTCCACAGTGGGAACACTAGCTCCCAATATTACTCATTTTTTATATTGGTCACACATTTCGTAATTAAAAATAATTTTAAGTTTTTAAAAAATTTAGGTAAGCCTACAGGAGAATTACATATGTGAATGTCATTCATCAGTCTGTTATTACAGAAAAAACTTGGAAACTTCTGTACGCATGCTGCCTCCCAGATAAATTTGACAAATGAACAAAGGTACTAAATATTTTTTTCAGTTCCGCTAACATTTAATGGCCCTCTACTTTGTTCTCATCTCTAGTCAGACTGCTGTTATTGGTTCTAAAATTTTTGCTTATAAGTAGGAAATTGATAAGCAACCCATCAAATTAATGTAAAATTATAAAAGGTATGACAGTAGGAAAAAAATATATTGAAAGAATAGTGACTAAAGAGCTGGTTCAAAAGCAATAATTCTAGCAAAAAAACAAAAAACAAAAACAACTAGGAACTAGACTAAAGAGGTACTAGGAGAACGGAAACGAGAGGACAGATATGGAAAGACCTGGTAAAAGAAAATTCCACAGGATTTGTCGACTAAATGTAAGGGAATGAGGTTAGTAATAGTGGGTCTTATTTAGATGTGGTACTAGGTTTCTCCACCAGGTGGCAGTGGTGTTCTTCAGTTTTTAATTTTTCATTATGCTAGATTAATTTTTCATTATGCTAAAGATTAAGCTTTAGCAACTGAAAGATCAAATAAATGGACTTAAGTTGCCAACAAAATTGTGAGCAAGGTAGCCAGAGAAAATTACCATACAGCAATAAAAATTCTGGAAAATATATACGTACATACATACGAGGAGTGACAATTAAGTTCGCAAACTTCTTGCAATGATGTTGCTACATTTTTTTGATATCAGAAATTATTCATTATAACTGTACCAACTGGACAAACAGTTAACCAACTTTATTATTTGGAAGTGCTGAAAAGGCTGTATAAAAAAGACGACAACATTGTGAGGGAGTTTTTAGACAGTAAACAAATAATTGTATTGGAACACCCTCCCTACTAACCTGATCTGGCCCCCAATGACTTCTTTCTTTACCCCAAGATAAAGGAAATACTGAAAGGAAGACATTTTGATGACATTCAGGACATCAAGGGTAATATGACGACAGCTCTGATGGCCATTCCAGAAAAAGAGTTCCAAAATTGCTTTGAAGGGTGGACTGGGTGCTGGCATCGGTGCATAGCTTCCCAAGGAGAGTAGTTTGACTGGGACCATAGTGACATTCAGCAATGAGGCATGTGGCACTTTTTCTAGGATGAGTTCATGAACTTAATTGTCTGAACTTGTATGCAAATAAGTACAAAATTTATATGTATATATGTAATTTTAAATATGCTTATGATTACACTGGAAAGAAAGTAATGATCCTTGGAGGCCAGAAACAAAGGAAAAGTACAAATTCAAAAGGTAAACACCAAAGCCAGTGCTTGCCTTAAGGAATATCTGCCAATCCTCCAGGATCTAAAGCCTAAGTTTTAAAGGGCATCACATACATGGAAGACAAAGCCCTGGGCTTGAGCAAAATGGGAAGATTAGATCAGAGACGTGCATAAAGCATAGAGCCTTGTAAGACAACAATTTCAGTGGGTTTATTAGAATACTCCCACATATGCACAAAGATAGTGCGAATACTTTTGTATGTTGGTCTTAGCCCTGGGAAGACCAAGAAGAAAATTAAAAATCTCTCCAGAGACATAAACGAAGATCCAGAGATAAAAAA